CTGGAAAATTTAAGGGGTAGTTATATAATAATTTTGGACGATCTCAGGCGGTCGGATACTTATGACCGCTACTGTATGCGTGTATATGATCTGTATAAATATGCATTTGTAAATACGTGTTTAATAAATTTTTGCTAAGCCACTATTATAATAATTATCATATTGCTCACGTGATATTGATATTATATGTAATGTAAGATCTCCCATAAGAACTCCTGTTACCCTTCACCCCCTAAGATATTATGTAATATCTGTCACTACCCTTATAAAGATTCATGGAGGATTAAAATTTCGGTAATCTCTATAAATAAAAAATATATTGAGGAAAATATTCGTAAACACAAAATAGCTAAGGCCACTGAAGATGAGTTTGGAGTTATGTACTATAAGTTAAAAAATAATGCAGTCTTCAGCAAACAGATGGAAAATATCTGTAAACATATGAGAGTAGAATTACTTCGAATAAAAGAGGATAAAAAAATCAGGTGCCTAGCAAGTTCACTATTATATGTAGGCTTTAAAACATTCGAAGGGGAAATTACAGCAGTCCATATATTAAAAAGTACAGTAACTCTAAATAAACTAATCTATGTAAGGCAGGTAATTCTTAACATTAACAAGACTATGATGTTCAACTTTTGGTACAGTTACATAAAGTCTCGCTATAAAGATAAGACATGTCTACTTTATACAGATACAGACTCACTCATAATGTAAATAGAAACTGAAGACATATATAAAGATCGAGCAGAAAGACTAGACATTTTTAATCTTAACTATTCAGGAGACTTGTTTCTAATAAAGGATGAGATAAAAGAAGATCCAATAGGCGAATTAGTATACTTAAAGCTAAAAATGTATTCAGTTCTTCCAGTAGGTCATGATTTTAAAACTCCTGAAACGGATACAGATTTCGAAAAAGAGTTAGAAGAGAAAGAATATAGAAAGTCACAGGATAAAAAGAAATGGGAGAAAAAGCATGGTATCTAGAAGTCAAAAGGTGTAAAGAAATACGTGATCAAAAAGGAGCTTTAACATGATAAGTTCCTAGAATGTCTTAGAAACAAGAAACTAACCCAGCATGATATGTATGGCCTTTAAAGTTATGATCATCAAATATATCTGGAGAGGGTAAATAAGATAGGATTGAATCTATATGATAATAAGCGCTGGATCTTACTTGATAAAATTTGAACTTGTCCCTATGAACATTAGCGAATTGGATTATATAAACGCCTGGTGGCATCTGAAATAGCTTCTGAGAAAGCAGAAAAAAGTGCTATGAAAGCTAAACTTTATGTCAAGACATAGATGTTTTATAACAAATATTTTTTTCAAATAAAAAATTCTAAAGAATATATTTTCATTAATTAAAGTTTTCTATCATTATAGTAGAAACAATACAAAAATGGTCAATCATAAGAATATAGAACTTGCACAAGTTAAAGTCATAAAAATTGCATTGCAAAAAGGCAGAAAATATGATAATCTTGCAAAAAACTATGGAGACTATCTAAAGAAATTGCGAGCTGAAAAGAATCTAAATGACTATATTAAGATAGTCACAGTCAAGATGTTTTCTAACGAAGAGGTATACACTCTAAGGCTAGAAAATTATCACAAAAGATATGCAGATAATGATCTGTGTGCTAGCCTA